ATTGTGACTTACTTACTTACTTTACTTACTTACTTACTTACTTACTTACTTACTTACTTACTTACTTACTTACTTACTTACTTACTTACTTACTTACTTACTTACTTACTTACTTACTTACTTACTTACTTACTTACTTACTTACTTACTTACTTACTTACTTACTTACTTACTTACTTACTTACTTACTTACTTACTTACTTACTTACTTACTTACTTACTTACTTACTTACTTACTTACTTACTTACTTACTTACTTACTTACTTACTTACTTACTTACTTACTTACTTACTTACTTACTTACTTACTTACTTACTTACTTACTTACTTACTTACTTACTTACTTACTTACTTACTTACTTACTTACTTACTTACTTACTTACTTACTTACTTACTTACTTACTTACTTACTTACTTACTTACTTACTTACTTACTTACTTACTTACTTACTTACTTACTTACTTACTTACTTACTTACTTACTTACTTACTTACTTACTTACTTACTTACTTACTTACTTACTTACTTACTTACTTACTTACTTACTTACTTACTTACTTACTTACTTACTTACTTACTTACTTACTTACTTACTTACTTACTTACTTACTTACTTACTTACTTACTTACTTACTTACTTACTTACTTACTTACTTACTTACTTACTTACTTACTTACTTACTTACTTACTTACTTACTTACTTACTTACTTACTTACTTACTTACTTACTTACTTACTTACTTACTTACTTACTTACTTACTTACTTACTTACTTACTTACTTACTTACTTACTTACTTACTTACTTACTTACTTACTTACTTACTTACTTACTTACTTACTTACTTACTTACTTACTTACTTACTTACTTACTTACTTACTTACTTACTTACTTACTTACTTACTTACTTACTTACTTACTTACTTACTTACTTACTTACTTACTTACTTACTTACTTACTTACTTACTTACTTACTTACTTACTTACTTACTTACTTACTTACTTACTTACTTACTTACTTACTTACTTACTTACTTACTTACTTACTTACTTACTTACTTACTTACTTACTTACTTACTTACT